ACCCTCAGCTTCAAAGAAGAAACTTATTGAGCATGTTGTTACCCACAGCCACGCACCAAGGTTTCCACAAGGAAGCTTGGGATGGCCTATCCTCGGAGAAACCATCGAGTTCATCTCTTCAGCTTACTCAGACCATCCTGAGAGTTTCATGGACAAGCGTCGACTTATGTATGAACTTTTCTCCCTCTCTTCACCCTTTGTATATATACAAAATTTAACCAAATTTTGAAGCTAATACTTTTAAAGAAAAATAATCCCCTAAGAATGTATGATATTTTGCAATTTAACAACGTTATATATTGTTCTATAATATATAAATATTTATGTTTTTTATGTTTGCAAAGGTATGGAAGAGTGTTTAAGTCTCATATATTTGGAACGGCTACGATCGTGTCAACGGACGCAGAAGTTAATAAAGCAGTTTTACAGAGTGACTCAACAGCTTTCGTGCCGTTCTACCCGAAAACGGTGAGGGAGCTAATGGGAAACTCGTCGATACTTCTTATAAACGGGAGTTTACACAGAAGGTTTCATGGATTAGTCGGTTCTTTCTTAAAGTCACCACTCCTCAAAGCTCAAATCGTTAGAGACATGCACGAGTTTTTGTCTGAATCCATGGATCTATGGTCTGAAGACCAACCTGTTCTCCTCCAAGATGTCTCCAAGAATGTTAGTATTCCCTTAATTACTATTTTTCATATTTTCAGTGCATTAATTGAAAATTTTTATAAGGTTATTCATAATGATGATACCATGGAGTATTAATCTATTTTAAAGAATATGGTTACAATCATTACATTTGATATAATGATTACAAGTTTCTGCTTTTTTTGTTTGTTTAAGAAAACTAATTATTACCCTTTTAGTTATGTTTTCACATGTGAATAATTATTTTATCTTAATTGGTAGGTTGCATTCAAGGTACTTGCAAAGGCATTAATAAGTGTAGAGAAAGGAGAAGAGTTAGAAGAGTTAAAGGAAGAATTTGAGCAATTTATAACAGGACTCATGTCATTGCCTATTAACTTTCCTGGAACCCAACTTCATAGATCTCTCCAAGCTAAAAAGAAGATGGTGAAGCAAGTTGAAAAGATCATAGAAGGCAAAGTAAGGAGAGCCAAAAACAAAGAAGAAGATGGGGTGATTGCAAAAGATGTTGTGGATGTGCTGCTTAAGGACTCAAGTGGAAATTTAACTCACAATTTGATTGCTAACAATATGATTGACATGATGATTCCTGGCCATGATTCGGTACCTGTCCTCATCACCCTCGCTGTCAAATTTCTATCCGATTCCCCTACTGCTCTTCATTTTCTAATGGTAATTAATTTAAGTCATAATCAAGTGATGATAGCAATAAGTTTTAGAGTATGGACTCCAGTATAAAATATCTAGACATGAAAATGGAAGATTGGACTAAAGTGATATATTTTTCTCTCTTTCACACAATAGAGAAATACATATCACTAATTAATTTACTAGCAATTAATAATGGATTGGAAACTGATATTAACTCGTGAATATATGATTGCCACAAAAAAAATTATAAAATACTTATGATTTTTTTTTTTTTTTGCTTAAATTTGGAAAATACTTATGATTTATCAGGAAGAAAACATGGAGCTGAAAAGTTTGAAGGAATTGACAGGAGAGCAACTATATTGGAATGACTATTTGTCTTTACCTTTTACACAAAAGGTATATATAATTCTTCTTTTCCCTGATATAAGTTAATTATATGTTAAAAAGTTCATTGGGTCATTTAATAATATTTTTATCACCAATTATCATCAGGTCATTACAGAGACACTGAGAATGGGAAATGTCATAATTGGAGTGATGCGAAAAGCGATGAAAGATGTTGAAATAAAAGGATACGTGATACCAAAAGGATGGTGCTTCTTGGCTTACCTCAGATCAGTTCATCTTGATAAACTTTACTATGACTCTCCCTACAAATTCAATCCCTGGAGATGGCAAGTAAGAATCACTCAAACACAGTTGTTACACAACCAAGTATTTAAGATAAGTTATATATTTAATAAGATATACGTTTTTTTATACACTAGGAAAGGGACATGAACACGAGTAGTTTCAGTCCTTTTGGAGGTGGCCAGAGGTTGTGTCCTGGTCTTGATTTGGCCCGTCTTGAAGCTTCAATTTTCCTTCACCATCTTGTCACTCGCTTTAGGTAAACAAATAATTACATGATATTATTACAGAACTATTCATGTATATAGTGTAAATACGTAAAAAGAAAAGATAAAGGTGTGGCAAGTGCTCTCAGGCTTTAGACAAAGCGGTACGTTAGGACCATATAAGTCACATCTCTTTTTGACAAGTTGGACTCAGTTATTCAAAGAAAAAAGTGGAAATATATATCTTGAGAAAGCTTGTAGCTAGCAATTAACATTCAATCTAAATCTAAATGATATAAGTCTAAAGATTTTGTATAATAACAACTTAATGTTTTGGTTATGATATATGCAGATGGGTTGCAGAAGAAGATACAATTATAAATTTTCCTACAGTGCATATGAAGAACAAACTACCCATTTGGATCAACAGAAGATGATTAATTGTCTTTCAATAAGTAGAAAATGGAGAATCAATTTTGCATTATCAAAGTATAAAAGGTTAAACAAGTCACACGAGTGTTTGAAAGTGGGAGTGAAGTGAAAGTGATCGTGAGACAGAAAAGACGACATTCATGATGGAGTGTAGAGACAAAAGGCAATCACACGTGTGGGAGGTGACAAAACACGTGTCAATTATTTGTCCTTTTCCGTCAAAAGATATATAACGACAAAATCACAAAAACGTTTATGTTTGCTGAAAGGGCTCCACGTGGATCCCAGCTGCTTATTTATTTTGTCGACATTTAGAACTTCTCGTTTTTACTAGTACAAAGGTGTATGATATTTTTTTGAAACCCAAAGGTGTATGATATTCATATCACTATATGTTCATGATATAGAATCCTAATTAATTTTTACGACTATTCCTCTTCGTATATATGTTCATGACCTAATTACAGAGAATTTTATGAACTCTGACCAATCGTTCATTTTGATATCTTCGTGACAATTTATGAAATAAATTTAAGTTTCCACATAGCCTAGCAAAGATATATTATACATCAGTATTTTCGTTTTTTCGTTGGTTAATAGTTCTCAGTATCGAGAAGAACTTAAGATAGGTTAGCGTTTGTTGATTATGATGAAACTTGAAACAGACGGTATTAAGGTCTGCATCGTGCTCATGTGTAAATATTTGAGTCTCTCTGTGTTATTCTGTACAAGTCTATTCAATCTTTTTTTCTTTGGACTAAAAATCATCAATTATCTTATATATTAAAACAGAAGTCATGACTTGACTTCATGTGTGATTTTTTTTAAAATGAATTATTACTAGAAAGTCATGTTACATTAGCTCTCTAATAATCTTATCATTATTATATCTTATGAAAATTCATATCTATAATAACAAAGATACGTTTAACAATTTGATTTTGGTAAATTACTCCACACCTTCCAACTTAGTCACGCAAAATATGTCAATAGATATAAGTTTAGGAATCTTCTATTATTTATAATGAAATATGTCAATAATAGTTAAATGCATCCACAATGTATTAACAAAAATCACAGTTTCGTAATATGAAATATTTATATACTCAAAAAATTTACACGCTATATATACTAGATAAATTTATTTCGATGTAATTTTTAAAATTATATTGTTTACAAAAAAATTGTTTAAAAAAATATTTTTTAATAAAATTCTTTATAATATTAATTTATAAAGCTATAGGTTTAGTTTTTAGCAAGAATTTCTTCGAAGTTTATATTATCTTTACAAATTAAAGTATACTAATATTTAATGAAGTTCTATTTATATTACTTTATCTTAAAATGAAATACCAATCTAACAAACAATAAAATATAGAAGAAGAAACAAACACATGTTTGAAAAACATGAATAATATAAAAAATTTGAAACAATCTATTTGATTAAAACACGTATTATATAATATTATTATGTTTGAAAAACATTTACTATACATATCGTAAATATGTGATTATTATAATATATATACCAATTTACAAATGAAAACAAAATGTTTATATAACTAACTAAAAACGAAAACAAACACCCGCGCGATTGCGCGGATCAAAATCTAGTTACTCTTTAATTTCTAAAGTAGTTACAGAGTTATTGGTCTGATACCAGTTTTTTGATTTGATAAGGATTTTGAAATGATGAAAGTTAAGGGACAACCTTTGGCCTCCAATAACTTATATGTTATTTATATAGTAAATAAAAAGGTGATATTCCTTATCTTCCAATAAGATAAGTTGATGTAAATAACATAACAACCCACTGAAATTAATTTAAACGTAACAAGATAATGAAGGGTTGTTCTCACTGAACATCACTAACAGCCAATATCATTACACCATCACCAACCAATAATTTAATCTTTAAAACATTTATCCTAAGAAATCACAATAACCTTTAGCGTCTAGCGGATTCGTGTATAAGAACTTGGTCCCAAATATTGTCAAAAGCGAGGCCTCATTTATTATAGGCCTATTAAGCTAAGTTCATATGTTTGTAAAAGCCCAAAATGAATGAAAAAGGCCTTAAGTAGGTGGAGACTCCTCATGTACTTGCCGACATAACATTTGTTAAAACAGTAACTACATGCCAGAGAGACTCCTCTAGAATGGGACCACGTGCAACCCATAGGACAATTCAATAATGTCATCTCCCACTCGGTGACTCCTTGTCTGTCACCGTTACTTTATCAAAATCGTCATTAAGTTAATACCTTTTCAGTTGCCCAAAAAAAAAAGTTAATACCTTTTCACTTTCACATGAACAAAACCGTACTTCAACATGTAATCTAATCTACTAGTAGTATAAAGTTGCTGTTACCCAAATCTAGATAATCTAATTTTCAGACGTTTGACCAAATATACTTAATCAGATCCTCACGCTAATCTACAATAATATTATCAAAACATGTTTTCTATAAAAAAAATAATCACAATCTTATCTAACTAATCTTTGTTTTATTCCATAAACATACATTAATCTAATTTTTACAAATACAAAATGTGCATCACCTAACAGTTTATAAACTCCAACAGTCTTTTCATTATTTCCCCATTCCACAATAATGACAAACTACGGCGCCATTCCGACGTCGTCTCACGGCTCACCGGTGGTAGACCTCGACTCAATCTCACGCGTCAAGCAACACATCAAAGACGGACTCGCCACGCGCCGACCATGGAGAGTGATGTTCGACTTCCACTCCATGACGCTCCCACGCAGCCTCTCAGACGCTTTCTCAAGAATCAAGAACAACCTCGTCTACTTCCAGACAAACTACGCGATCGTCTTCTTGGTCGTGATCTTCTTAAGTCTTATCAAGCATCCGACATCGCTTATTGTGTTGACCGTGTTGGTCTTTGTCTGGATCTTTCTCTACTTTCTCCGTGACGAGCCTATCAAGTTGTTTAGTTATCAGGTTGATGATAAGTATGTGTTGGTTTGTTTATCGGTGGTAACTATTGTTTTGTTGTTTTTGACCAACGCGACAGTTAATATAGCTGTTGCGTTGTTGGTCGGAGCTGTGTTGGTTTTGATCCATGCGGTTGTTAGGAAGACGGAGGATCTTTTCTTGGATGAAGAGGCGGCGATGGCTGAGACTCTTGGCTGATCTCATGACCGTCTACTTTGATTGATCTCGAACTTTCTCATGTATTTTTTTTTTTGTTTTGTATAAAATATTGTTTGTTTTGGTTTTTATCATTTGATGTGTTATAATAACTTTAAATTTATTATAGTATTGCTGTGAGTTTGGGACTCTCTCGCTCATTTGTTTTGGGATCGTTGTTACTAGTTTGAAGTCTCTGAATCATTCTAAATTGTTACAATATTTGTTGAAAATATTCTTAGACTCAGGAATTGTTTTGTGTAATAATTTACTCTGAAATATTAATGATTTCGACTGGTCCACCAAAAATAACACAAATCAACTGATGATGAGTCTATCAATTTGTTGAGCTAGCTAAGTAATGAATAGGTCTTTGTTTCTTTCTTCTTTGGCATATGCAGAACAAGCTGCTTAGTTCTGATCACCTTTTTAAGCTTATCTTATCTCACGTTATGAATCTCTTTTCAAATGACTTTCTTCAGGAATAATTATAGTACTTAGTTACCAAAAGTAGAAGTCATCAACACTACATAAACCCAACCAAAAAAAACATAAATGGAGCTTCCCTTTTGCATCATGTAAAGTTCTCCAGGTCATTCAATCTTTTGGTTCAAAGTTAGGAAAGTGGAAACAAAGCTCACATGGGTACATTCTCTTTGGTCCTTCAAACCCCATGAAACTTCTCTATCAAATCAATGAAGAACATCTAAATTATTAAAGGGAAAATACAAACAAAAAAATAACCCTTAGTTTTCCTTAAAAATTACCAAGTTGTGCAACTAAGATAAAACTCATTGTTTTCTTTCTTTTTTGAACCGACATATTATACCGTTACGTTTGGTTGATTAGTATACTACGTAATTACAAAACCATTACTAACCCACATCCTATCACTTCGTTAAGCCACATCCCACCACAACCTAAGCCATATCATTCTATACATTAACTAAAACAATTTATTCATTACTAAACTTATACATTACAAAACAATTAAATTACAATTGCTGCTTACACCTACACTCCATTGTTTATCATTTATAAAACATCAAATTTAATTTATGTCATTCATCACATCAAAATTCCAGTTTTGTGTCTGCAGAAACAAAAGTATTAGGTATATACAAATATATGTCATAGATTAAGATCATAAGTCATATCAGTATTACTTGAAATCATCTTATTCAACATAAAAAATACCCAAACAATATGATTTTTTCACAATAAATTTAAAATTCGAACTCAAAACAAATCATTTATTGTTTTCCTAAAAGAATTACCTTACACAATCTTTTTCCTATCTTTAAGCGATCCTCATAACAAATACAAAATCTTTTTTTTTTTTTATAATCTTGCAAATCACGTAAAATATTAAATATTTATCTAAACTATCTTACCTTCCACTATCCATTTCTATATTTAAGCATTCATCTTAACAAATACCATATCAGTCAGGCAAAAGAAAAAAAAAAGCTTGATATATCTTTCCATTAGTAGAATAAGCTTAGTTATATAATTACGTTTTTTTATATTTAAAGCTACATAAAAATATTAAGAAAATATATACATCACAAAAGTTAAATTTTCTTATTTAATAAAACTATTAAACCTCAGCTACATACCCTAATATTATACATTTTATGTTTAGTTTATCAAAACAAAGAAAAAATACAATAAAGAAGAATAAAACTTCATAATTTATAAATGTATACTACACAAAATAAACAAGATACACCAAAATAAAAATTCAATAACATATGAAACAATAACATGAAAGTTTTTAAAACTACGAAAAAGATATAATTACATCAAACATACATCCGCGCGGATCAAAAACTAGTTTACTTTAAAATCTAAAAAAAAATCATTATGAATCCCAAAAATCAGTAAATTCCAGATAAATGCTTTAATTAAGGCCCAATAAAAGCCCATAAGATTCCAAAAGGCCCACCATTGTTTATTTACATGTCAGCTCCCTTCGCCGGCGCTTATTACCACCGTTACCCTCGCCGCCGGTTAGAGAAAAATGGCGGCGTATCACCAACCGTACGATCCTTACTACATCTTCAACCCTCTTCTTCCGCCTCAGCTTCCCCAGTTAGCCGATGAACCTGGGGCGATCAACACACTCTTCGTCTCAGGCTTGCCTGACGACGTAAAGGCTCGTGAGATCCACAACCTCTTCCGTCGCCGTCCCGGGTTCGAGTCTTGTCAGCTCAAATACACTGGACGCGGCGACCAGGTTTTTTTTTTTCAGTTCCTACCCATTACAGTTTCCCAGAAGAGTACTTGTTGGTTCCCAAAAAGATTTAAACTTTATGATTCTAAATGTTCAAAAAACATAAAAAGATGTAAACTTTATGATTCTAAATGTTCAAAAGAAATAAAAAGATGTAAACTTTATGATTCTAAATGTTCAAAAAAATAAAAAGATGTAAACTTTATGATTCTAAATGTTCAAAGAAAATAAAAAGATGTAAACTTTATGATTCTAAATGTTCAAAAAAATAAAAAGATGTAAACTTTATGATTCTAAATGTTCAAAGAAAATAAAAAGATGTAAACTTTATGATTCTAAATNTGATTCTAAATGTTCAAAAAAATAAAAAGATGTAAACTTTATGATTCTAAATGTTCAAAGAAAATAAAAAGATGTAAACTTTATGATTCTAAATGTTCAAAAAAATAAAAAGATGTAAACTTTATGATTCTAAATGTTCAAAGAAAATAAAAAGATGTAAACTTTATGATTCTAAATGTTCAAAAAAATAAAAAGATGTGAACTTTATGATTCTGTTAATGTTTAAGCTATTGAAAGGTACTTTATTTTTGTTTAGGTTGTTGCATTTGCAACGTTCTCTAGTCATGGATTCGCTATGGCTGCAATGAATGAGCTAAATGTGAGTTTCACTTTTGATCTGAGTTGTTGTCTTTACATTATCTGGTGAAGTTTCTATGTGTAAAGATTATAGTGTCATTGATTGTGGTGAAGCCTTTTTTTTCCACAGGGTGTGAAGTTTGATCCTCAAACAGGTTCAACTCTGCATATAGAAGTAGCTAGATCAAACTCTAGGAGAAAAGAAAGGCCTGGTATGCATATACATGTATTTTACTCTGTTCTTGTCTCGCTATTGAGTGTGCAAGTTGTAGAAATCGATGAGCTCTCTGTGGACAGGAAGTGGGCCTTATGTCGTAATTGATAACAGAAACAAGGAACCATCTAAATCTCAGGACGACCAGAGTGAAGGTAAGGTTATGATTACTTTGTGAAATTCCTAGTTTTCTTAACTGTATGCTCATGTGTCTGCTTGATTTTGTGATACATCTAGGGGAAAGTGATCCTGAGGAGCCGCATGAGCCCGGAAATAGCAATTCTCCTAAGGAAAATGATGATACAAAAAGGTTTAAAAAGTTCATGTAGAGGCTTGGTTTTGTAGTCTTATATGTCAGAAACAGAAGACTTATGTGTATGCTGATATCTTATTGCTAATTTACAGCGAAGTGGACTCTGATCAAGATAGTAAACCGCCACCTACTAGTGTAAGTACACTGTTACTTCCATTGAGATTTGTTTATGGTTCAAAAGCTTATAGGCACATTTCTAACAGGGGAGTTTGGAAAAAGCATCTGAAGGAGGTTCTGGTGCTGGACCATGTTCGACCTTGTTTATAGCCAATCTAGGGCCTAATTGTACAGAAGATGAACTCAAACAACTCCTGTCTAGGTAACAGTATGCAGAGTCTTGAACCTATAACACTTGAGTTTGTATATATTTCGATATATCATTACTTTATACTTTCCGATCAATGGTCCATCTGCTTACAGATATCCTGGTTTCAATATCCTGAAAATCCGAGCAAGAAGCGGAATGCCAGTTGCTTTTGCTGATTTTGAGGTACAAGTTAATACTTGCTTGTGATTTTTCTTTTTGTCTTTATGGAGTCTATAAACACTTACTTACTCTCACCATTTACAGGAAATCGAACAAGCTACTTATGTCATGAATGATCTACAAGGCAACCTCCTATCTTCTTCAGACCGAGGCGGCATGCATATAGAGTACATTTTCTCGATTACTTTAAATTTCTCATTTTTTGCAAGATTGTTACACTCATGGTTGATATAACACTAAACCGACGTGACGCTCTGGTTCTTGTTTTTTCTAGATATGCAAGATCCAAGATGAGGAAACAGTAGAAGCCCTCACTTCTGAGAACGAGATCATAAGCAAAGGAACCTGTGTTTCTTATTTTAAGCCTCCACTTATTATTTGTTGTCATAAAGATGGATCTTCTATGCTGAAACTTTGAAACATATGTGTATAGCCCAAGATTATTATTTATGTTTTTATCAAAGCTAAAGATTATTTAAGACTCCAAGATTATTTCTGTGCACGCAGAGGATCTTGGAAAGAGTGAATCAAGTTCTTGGTTTTGTTATGGTCCCCTAAAGGTTTATTTAATCACTGCCCCACCAATATCCTCACCACTTTTGGGCTTATCTTGTGTGTATATGCAATGTCTTGAGAAACAGATGTTGATTGGTGATGCGGATATGCAGAAAAGATACCCCAAGGACCCAATGCATCACTGTATTGACAGGCAAGTCAGATTTGAATACCTAACCTCTCTCTCATGCATCATTTATTACACTGGCAAAGACTTCCACAGTTCCACTGTCGTGTGAGTAAGGACAGCCTTCATTGTTTTGTTTTCTGTGTGTGTGTGTCCACACTGCATAACAATTCTCTTGACCCTCCAAAACCAATAATTCAAATTCAAAAGAAGATTGAAGCCTCTATCTTGTTTTGTCATTTTATAATCATTTCCTTTCACCAAAAACAATTCCAAGTTCCTTGATAACATATATAGCAACTGTTTTTTTCTTGCTTCTTACCCGCTATACAAACAAAAAATAACAAAGGAGTCAGAAAAAAGCTTTCTTCCTAGCTTTGGACCACATTACTGAAAACAGGGACTTTTTAAACCCTACAACCAAAACTTTTCATAAGACACTGTTATCCGATTTTTAACTCTCTTAATCCGTTTAGTATTGCTTGTTATGGTTTAGTTCCAACCGCTGACCTCTTTCCCTTAAAGCTAGTCTTGGCGTTTCAACAGACAGCCTTTCACTGAACCTATCCGAACCATCATTCGTTAGCTGACCACTGCTGTAATGATCACCCCAGAACCTTCCGCTTCTGTTGCCTGCCTCTGACCCTGGAGTTGAGCAGCAGTTCCCATCCATTATCATATCTCCTTCCAGTATACGTAACACCTTAAGCATTGACCAGACAATTTATTAGTATCATCATGAGACTGGAGTGACTGCAAAGTTTTGATTACCTGAGACATGCGTGGCCTCAAATGTGGGTCTCTACGTATACACAACGAAGCTGCATGAAGCATACAAATGACCTCACTTTCTACAAAACGGTTCCCAAGCCTCGGATCGATAAGTTCATCTACAGCATATTCTTCCAGTAGCGGACGAGCCTGAGATCACAAGTAAACGAGCATCAGGACGATTTACTTTGCTGAATAATTAAGATGTGTGAATTCATTACCCATTCAGTCAGGCATTGCTGGCCTTTTGGCATAGTAATGTCAATGGCTTTGCGGCCTGTGACTAGCTCAACTAAAACAACCCCGAACGAGTAGACATCCGCTTTCTCTGTGATCTGTCCACTTTGAGCATACTCGGGAGCTAAATAGCTACACAACCACAATATACTTTCCTTAAGCAATTTTGAAGTTTCAGGAAGAAAACTATAAGTTTAGTTGATGCCTCACCCGAAGGTTCCTATCACTCGTGTTTCTACACCTAGTTCTCCATCAGGCTGCCATCTCGCTAGACCAAAATCTCCGACCTGATAGAATTAAACAGCTGTCTTAGGACCAGAGAGCATATGAAACAAAAACCAAAGACAACCATTTATATATACCAGTGGCTCATTATCATGAGTGATGAGGATGTTGTTAGGACGCATGTCTCTGTGGACAATACATCCAACTCTGCACTCTTCATGAAGATAACGAAGACCTCTTGCAGCTCCAACAGCAATCTTTTGCCGTGCTGGCCATTCCAGTGTCTCCTTTTGGCGACCTGATAAGAGCTTGATACTGAGCAAACATTCTCCACCACCACACAAAAAAAAAATCAAATGTAAATCTTAGGCATCATCATTACCGTATAGATGAGAGTCAAGTGAACCATTGCATATGTATTCATAAACCAAGAGCCGTCTACTGTCTTCAATGCAGAAACCAATTAGCATAACAACGTTTCTATGCTGAGCACAGCTGAGAACTTCCACTTCAGAACAAAACTCTACATCTCCTTGAGAACTAGCTAATTTATGTTGCTTTACTGCAACTACCTGGCCTTCGGGTAGTATACCACGATGAACAGAGCCATATCCACCCTCTGCCAAGAAGTTAGCCTTTGAAAACCCACCTGTTGCAAGCTCTAACTCGGCGTATGAAAACAGTCTAGGGGGTTTCCCAAATACGGGCCCCTTGTGCTGGCAGATGGAACAGAGAGGAGGAGGACCAGGAGGAGCATTACGAGAGAGTGATATTGCATCTCTAACGTTTCCACTAAACTCCACATCCATCCTTCGACTAGACGACAACCCAGCTTCTACGTCCAGTTTAGAGAACTTTTCAAGTAAACCCTTTGTAGTTGTTATTTGAGCCCTATCATCGTTTTTCCATAGGCTTTCCTCGGCTTCTAGGGATGAACGGTGATGTGTGCTGATATATTCTGATATCCATGGCTGGAATCTCATACTTGTTGATGCTAATGATTCACTCTCTGTTTCAGAGCCGGAATCATCATTCTCCTTGATGACCAATGCTCCATCCTTTTTCATGTACCCACTCATACCCAAAGTGAAAAACGGTGAAGTTCCTGGATCAGAGCTTGACACTGATGAAGTACCTGCTTCTGTACTTGTGAATGGTGTCCCCAGCTCTGGGCTGCTAGTAGGAGTTACAGGTAGTCCTTTATCAGAATCTAAAGATACTTTTGTGTTCTTTGTAAGTTTTTCAGATGCTGCCTCTGGTAAAGAAGACCCTTTCTCAGCAACCTTCCTAGGGGAACCAACCAGATTTAAGCGCAGAACTTTTGCCTGAGAACGCTTCATCACCACAATGTTACATTGCAATTCATCCATACACAGTTTCTCCTCGTGCTTGAGATGTCTGTAAAAACAAACCACACAGTGTAAGTTAGGAAAGGTAAAAAAAACTGTTCAACCGATTTTACTAATAGAATATTCAAAAAAGAAGAGTAGATTATTACTTGTCTAGTACTACCCAGTTTGCTTGTGCTTTCTTTGTCTCAGCAGCAACTGCTCCATAGGGTGATCCAGAAACAATCTTAATCTTGACATTTATCTAAAGTACCACAAACAACAATAACAACAACATGAGAAAGATGTGATGCTTTAACAGTATCATGATAGCTAAACATGTCAGGCATAAGAGCAAAACCTTATTGGGATCATAGACATCATGAAGCTGGAGAATCATTTGGGAACACGTGTCAGTAAGGTCACTCTTTATCGCTGGAAGTGCTTCAGAATGTGGTTTCCGGTGACCACTTGCACAATCTCCAGCAAACATAGGGAAACTCCTACTGAAACCCCAAAGTTTTCTTCCTACACATTCATCACAACGAAAATTAATTAAAGAATAATAAACAGAGAAAACTACACATTCAAAACGTGATGGCAAGAAAAGTACCGGAGTTTTGAGAAGGGACAACAACAATGAGAGTTATACAATCCCCAGGCTGAACAACATGAGTCAAAGCCCATATCAAAGCTGTCTTTGGGATCTCTCTAGACGCTTTGACAGCAACGATAACCTTCTCAGCCCCATCAGATACTACAGGCTTTTCCTGCTTCCCTCGCTTTAGTAAACGACTCATTTAAGACTCCAATGCAAGAAACTTTTCTTGACACTCTTTTTAGTTTGTCTTTATAACAAGATCCTCAGAAGAAACTGTACTTCCTTGGAGAGATAAAAGGCTCACAGGAATCTAGAAGATAACAGGATTTAAGCTTTGCCCCCACCAAGACAAGAACCAAAGACTCTCTTTACTTGGCTAGTGATTCCAGAAAAGACCTTGCAACTGAACACAAACTTGACAACACCACCTTCTCTGCGTTTCTTCTGCCTCCTCCAATGAATCACATGAAAACTTGAAAGAACACAGTGACACAAACCCAGCACCAAAGATTCTGCTTTCTCAACGGATTCAAAATCTTCTTCTCTTTTTTTTGTCAAATCTTAATAAAGTCCAAGGCTTACTACAGCCTCTTAACTTTTGGATCTGACAACAACAACTAACAACAAAGGAACAAAAAGAGCGAAAATCCTTGAGCAGACAAGACACGAGGAGATTCCCTTTCAAAAGCTGTCCACTACTTCAAAATCCCACCTGTAAATACACAAAACGAGTAAAACGATAATGAAGAAAGGAAGATTGTGATTCAAGAATCAAAGAAAAAAGACTCTGAAGGAACAAAAAAAAAAAAACGAAACGGTTAGAGATTAAAACCTCAAATTCCTTCATTAAAATACTTAAACTAAGCAATAAAAAACGTTTTGACTGAAGTTATAAAAAAAAAAAACGAATTTCATGAGAATGTAAAAGGAATTTTCCAACGATTCAACTAATAAAACCAAAGAGAACGGACAATAGAGAGATTAGATACATTTAATTATTTATCTCAAACCGCCAGAAGATTATAATAATATTACGAAATAAAAATAAACCACTTCATGAATTTCACCGCCCTATGAAAACGATTCAACCAAAATAAGTAAGTAGAAAGTGAGTGAGACGAGACGAGGAGAAGAACACAAAAACATAGGAGAGAAAATGAAATTACGAGAATAAGCATTGATTGTGTATTTGTCTCTCTTCAAGGCTTCGTCTCTCCTTTCACTGTCAACGCACGGCTTTCGCAAATAAGAGAGAATGCAGATGGAATCCAATCACTGGAGGTAATAAAAACCGCCAAGGAGAGAAGAAAGTGTAACACAGCTTTTTCTTTTAGGGTTTTTGGGTTACGCCTTCTCTAGCTACTCTAGTAACAACAAAATTGTTATCTTTCTAGTCCTACTAATAATGCAGCCCTCTCTTTGTTTTATTACTGTTATCTATTGTGTCTTTTCCAATGCGCTGATGATTTTATAAAAAAAAATATGTTTGGTCTTTTTAAAAGAATAAATAATCTTATAATGTTATGATCATGTTTGAAATTTTAAATGATTTCAGTTAAAAGTTAAAAGTTATAATCCCAACATTGGCTAATGAACTTATAACCACTAAACAGTAATTAGATGATTTACAAAGGTTTAGTGTTTTAGGAGTCTAAACTGAATTTTTAAACAAACTGATTTTTTTTATTTACGTCTGATTTACCACCAAACTAAAGTGATTTGAACAAAAAAAACACTGGTTATAAACTTATGATATATAAGTGGACTTGTTTCTTCAATTAAAACCGCTCAAACTCCTGCCTTTGGAAAATTTAAATTGTACTCCAAAGAGATATTCTATTAAAAAAAACAATTGAATTCCAAACTATTTTAGAGTAACAAATAGTATAAATCAGTATCGGTCCTGAGGAGAAACATTACAAGCAACCACTTCCAGCCCTTAAAAAATACTTGAAAAATTTAGTCTTTTTTATAAGAAAATTACTATTATAGTATATAAACGTTCTTATAAAAATGGCCAATTTTTTGAAAATTGCTTCTGGTCTTTTCCATGTCAGGACCAGTACTGGTAAAAACTATTGGAGATGATGTTAGATGATTGTTCATGTAATTCATATCTTATGGTTACATTGAATAGACCCCTTGTCGTCATTGGATTTTGGAGACACTTTTCCCAGTTAGTTTACCCTCTGGGAAGCCTTTAGACTACCTTCATTGGTCCAAATTTATATGAGCTTAATCTAAAATGTTAAAATTCAAAAAAAAAAATTACTAATACAAAATGAACTATAGCTTTTAGACTTTTAGTGTGGGTTTATAAGATTCATAAACTTATCTCCAAGAATTTTTTTTTTCTTTCTAAAACTTGTTTCACTTGTTGATATTTATCAAGTATTACTAATAACATGAATTTGAGATTGCTTACTATTAGTTCCAAAATTGCTTGAACTGAAAGTAACCAATTTTTCTCTTTTTCACTTTTCTCCTATAATTTATAACGACTCTTTAGTTTGAAATTTAAATTTTTTGTAGCTTTGTGGCCATTTTTCAGATCTCCTAAACACCCTCTCGATGACAGACCTCGGGAAACGAATCGACGTAGTAGTATATGACAAATTTGAATCAAATGCAGTCTCCATCTCCAAAACGTGGTTTTCTAAACAAGTACGTAGTCACAGCCGACAGGTCTAATTAAATTCAATTAAACAAATACTAGTACAATCGATTAGACAAATACTAGTACTACTATTAATTACGTTCAATAGTATACATTATTTTCCAACCGTTCAAATTCAAACGGGACAACACCTCTTTTTTTTTAGAATTAACGAGACAACACTTGTTCTTCATACAAAAGAAAACATATTCCTTGAAAAGAACCGTGATTAGCTATTGCATGAATCAAAATGATTAAATCGTATCTGATTATATCGAAATTTAGAAAATAAAGAAGTTAATTAAAATTTTATGCTAATGTGTAAAGAGATGAAATAAAAAGAAAATGGTCCAAAATATGTGTTAAGTATAGAACAGAGCACAATCACAGGTAGTTCAGGCCCGAGTGTCATGTAGTAATCCATTGTGGGTTCGTCCAACCCCAACCATCCCGATAAGGGTGGGCACGAAGCAAATATCTAAGTATTCGGAGATATTTGTAATCTGATCCGTTTCATTCGAATAATCAATTATCCGATTCGATTTGATCTGTAGCTCTTCGGATACTCGCCATCCCGGATATCTGGAAAATTTTAGAATTTTACCGGATATCCGATTCGATCCCTAAAAATAAAATATTTTTTTTTAAATAAATAAAAATCCAAAATAATATAAAATAATAATATTTTATTACAAAAATAAAATTTAATTAATTTTAAAAATTCTAATAACTAATATAATAAATTTAATAAATAAAAATCTTCTAAAACATAAATTAAATAGAATATTTATATACTTCTTTAAATATATGTATATATATATGTATATAACGGATCGGATCGGATGTTCGTTCCTAAACATATTAATATTTGTTATTTGTTTCCTCTCTTACATATATCATATTTTAATACTATTTGTTTTACTTCATAGAGTTACGGATATCCAAATTTTTCGGTTCGAATCGAAACGGATAACGAATCAAATCAAAATTTACAGATTTTTTGCCGAACCCTACATCCCACTAATCATTACTACCTTTCTAATTTCACCAATTTTATTCTTTTCCTTATTACCAAATTTTCGGAAGAAATATTAAAAAATCTTCAGATCGTGTGGTCCTCTAACAAAATTTCCACAATGCATGATCCCACGGTATCTCTGGATACAAAAATAAAAATTTTGATGTATAATTTAAAAAATTGCTCTAAGGATTTTGTGAGAACAAGTTTAATATCTTTTTGGATCTCAAATGCATATGAGAAGATATTTCACTGTTTAGCTTATTGTTTGAATCTGATTAGTTTATTGATTAGCTGAGATGATTAGTTTCGTTACTGGTTAAATTTCTGTATATAGGTCACATCATAACCGGCGGCCAATGCCGTCACTGTTTGGTCAACCTCCTCCTGTCACACTACCACCCACATATTACTATTATATTTTAATGTTTTTTTGGTCAAGCTATATACATTATTATTGTAAGAAAAAACTAGATACTTTATTGTATAATATTAAACCAACCATAGACATTATTGTAGAATTCATGAACTAATAATACTTAAGAATGTGAGCTTCTATAGAAACGACATTTAGCTCGGGGTAGGTGCCTGCATGAGTATGTATGATGTATGCAAAGACAAATAACTTTATTAATCTAATGTTAATTAGCCACCGATGATTACTCAACTATCAAGTAAAAAAAGAAAATTTATCATTTCTAAGTAGTAAACAAACATATTTGATTTCTTTTTTGATACAGAACAAAGTCTACTTAACACACTTCGAAGCAGTACATTTTTACCTGTTCCTCGAGTCCTCGACTTACATTATTAATACATAATTAAGTAATGAAGTTTTATAGTTTGTGCGGTGATTTTGTCCGTAATGACATAGCAACTTTTTGCAATATGGTTTAATAAAATAGAGTGCATCGTGCGGGGAATTTTTCATTAAGATATTACATGCACGTCTTAATAAGACGTAAGACATTGTTTGGTCGTATTCGTTATTATATAGTACTATGTCTACTTAATTAATCGATCTTGTTTAGAGACAATGACCCCAAATTTAATCTCCTAGCTCGTAACCTATGTTGCTAGCGACCCATCAGTTGTATTGGGGCACTAATAAGTTTATTGTATTTTTGTTACCCACAGAAACACTCAAGCAACCAGGGTTCTGCAATTGTGTGTGTTCCACTTTTCATAATGATACTGGTTCAATGAATTGTCTCTTCAGTCATTAAAAACTATGTGTTTTTGTTCTTCTTTCAAGGTTGCGTATTAATTTTACTAATAGGTTCTTCAATTCCGAGGGCAAATTGCATTAAATTTATTCAGAACGGAACATACATTTATTATCATTCTGAGTAAAACCCAATAAGTAAATGTAGGTGTAGTTAATTATTGTACCATGTACTTCGCTATTAATTTTCAGGTCTTCATAAACTAAAATCGTAAGAACATCTATTTTAACCCAATTTCAAAAAAAAAAAAGAACGGGCATTTAGACCACTTAAGAACTAAAAAAAGTTCAATTTTTGTTGGTAACAAAAAAATGAGGTTCAATTTAAACAACAATATCCACACTACAAATCTTTCATGAAAGAATTCTCACACAAAATTAATATTGAAAAAATAGAGATTAAAATAATTCTCAAATGAAAACATTTTCAAAATTCATTTTTAATGAATCAGTTTTTATTACAAAACCAACCATTAATTATATTTTAAAATCGTCTTAAAATAAACATTTTTCTGTTCAATAACCTTAAAGAGTTTTTCATGGATATGTTTCTAAAACCATCTTCTACAAGACAGCATATCACAAAATTCTGGTGTGATTTCACCTTAAACAAAATATAAAATCGACATAATTCCACCAAAATCAATGTAATATGAATCATATAACACCAAATCGGTGCAACACTATTCAACACACCAAATCTTTACAACACATATTTATCATATTTTATTTAATAATATAATTTAATTATTATTAATTAGTTCAAATTTATAACTAAATAAAAATATAATTTATTATTATATTTTATTTATTTTTACATAATTACATTTTACATTTAATTAATAAATCACTAAATGAGTAAAATATCATAGAAATTTTATCTTTTATTTTAAATTTGTATAGATTTTTAATTAGTCTTATAGAAACTAATACTATAAGCTAGACTTAATAGAAAATATTTTTTTCTGTAATATTATTAATTTATTAAATCTTAAAATAATATTTTTATTTTATAATATAATTAAATTGGTATTACTAACTAATACAAAATTTATTAGAATATATATATATATATTAATTTTTATGTGCATTTCATATTAAATAATTTGTAATTTTGAATATAATAATATTTTATACAAAATAAATACATAAAATATAATATTGGTAAACAAAAAAACATAAATGCAAATATATTTTGTAAACATAAAACACCAAAATTTTAACAAACATAATCTAAGCGTGATAAAATAATTATTTGTCAATTACAAATAATAAAAATATTAAATACTATTGAAAAATTAAATAATATTAATATTATTTTTGGTGTGAAATACGTTGTTAGTGTTAGAGACAGCAAAAAATGTATAACACCAAAAAATTAAATTTGATGTAATTGGGAGATGCTCTAACATGGTTTAGTAGTGCCACGATTTCCTTACCAC